TATATAAATATAATTATATATACATATATTGACTCGTAACGTAGTGTAAACAGAAGAAGAAGAAGACAAAGAAGACAAAGAAGTGGAAGAAGCAGCAGCACAAGTGCTGACAAACAAAAATTACAAAGTATGAATAAGTGTATTAAATTAACGAAAGTATTTATTTATTTTAAATGCATGCGGCATGCATGACTGTAGACAGTGTGCTAGAGTGACAGAGAGAGAGAGAGAGAGAGAGAGAGAGAGTGTGAGGGTGAGAGCGAGAGCGAGAGGGCTGCATAGGGTGTGTGGGGCGATTGAGTGAATTGAATGCCTGCTGCATGATGACCGCACCTGCGATGACGTCATGCTCGATGTATGTTTGTATGGCACAGGGTCAAATTAAGCCCTCAAGCATGCCAATGTGTGTGTGTGTGTGTGTGTGCAGCATGAGAACGTGTCATGATCAATGAACTGTTACGACCCAAGTCAAAAGTTGTGTCAGTTGTTTTCTTCGTCTTCGTCGCACTTCTCACTCTTTACGCTTTACGCTTTACTCTTTCCACTTCCACTTCTCCTATTTCGTTTTCTTTTAACAATTTGTTTGTCGTGCTAGGTTGTTGGTGTTGTTGTTTTTGTTGCTTCTTCTTCTTTTGCTTTGTCTTTTCTTTTGTTTTTGGCGTCAACAACAGAGATTATGTCATATTTGTTGTAGTTGATGTAGTTGCGTTTGATGCCGCGCAAAAAAATGGGTGTACAATGGGGCGTATACGTTGCACTGAATGAATGAATGAGTGAACGAGAATAAGTTTGTATGCCAACAGTTTTAACAGTTTGCTAGGCCATTTCATGATAGTTGAAATCATTTAAAGAGAAAATGTGAAAATATGTGCAGCATCCCAATCTAAAAATAAAAAAAATATATATCTAAAAATTAAATTATGCCATGCTTAATTTTCTAGCATACTTTGAGGCTTATCAAAACACTGGAAATATCAGTATACTTTCAGCTATAGCGTAATCGGAATATAATTACATTTATATCATATCATATATATGTATATATACGACTCAAAACACTGGAAATATCAGAATGCCTATAGCAATATATAGCGAAATTCTTATATAATAGTCATCATCGACTTCCACTAGTCGATTTATATATACATCAGAATATATGATCATATCATTTTTATATGTACATCATTGAAGCTTCTTTCAAATTGAAATCTCAGCGCTTTGCGCCCATGTTGCCCTACAGTAAAGGGTATCTGTCGGCTGATCACAGGCAAACACTTGGTTTTATTGTTATTTTTCAACTGCTTTGCGCATTGTTTGCAATATCGTTGATTATGGCTGATTGTTGATCGTGAATCGCGCTGTTGGCAGTTAGAAAGCATAACACATAACACTCATACACACACACACACATAACACTCATACACACACACACACATACATAGACACACTCACACTCACAGAGACAGCTCAAATTCCGCAAATTCCACAGCTGGCCGCTGGACTGAGTTTGGGTCTTCGCTTTAGCTCGCTCTCTCTCTCTCTTTCTCTCCCTTACTCTTTCTCTCTTTCTCTCTCTCTCTCTCTCTCTCTCTCTCTCTCTATTTTTAAGAGAGCAATTATTGTTTTGTTTTCATTTCTTGCTCTCTCCTGCCTCCTTCCACTCTCTCTCTCTCTCTCTCTCGCTCTGTCTCTCTACTCTCCCACTCTCTCCCACCAAACTGGTTACAGCTGAACAGTTCGATCGATTGATCGGTCAGTCGGTCGACTTAGCTGTTGTCCACTTTAACTGCATGCCATTTGCAAATGTTGGTCAACTATTTTGCATAGAGGCACTAAAAACAACAACAACAACAACAACAATAACAACAACCACATGACGATGATCATCGCGTAACTTGATTATGATCGAGCCGCCTCCTCGGGTGTGTGTGTGTGTGTACGTGTGTGTGTGCCAAATTGTGCCGAAACAGGAATCTATAATCTCTCACCTGTTTAATGCCACCCAACTGGTTGAACCCGTTGCTGATCCAATTTCCAATGCCTCAAATTGATGCCAAAACGGTTCTGGTTACGAATAAATACATATTTGTATAGATAAATACCTATATACATATATGTATGTATGTATGTATGTATGTATATTGTTTGAAACTCGATTTTGTGATTAATGATCGCCACAAATTGAATTTTTGGGAATTTGAATTTGATGTGGACTATAGGCGTGTCGAAATACTCTATTCATGTTGATATTATTCCACTTTCAATATACTCTATCCATTGACGATTGATCAGACTCTGCTGCTGATCAGTTTGAGATCATCCACCGATAGCATTTAAAGTCATCTAGATTTCCTATTATATTCCTAGAAAATATCTAAAGTTATACACTTGGATATACTAGTCATAGCTTCGGTTTAGCATGTGTGGAGATTTTCCCAATACATCCGCAAGGGAATATATTATATATCTTCCATTTTAGTTGTTTTTTAAATCAAGATTTTCCTTGAATTATTGTTAAGAAAAGTTTATTTTGATCAAAAAGTTTATATAACATTTAGGTTTATTAATAGAACATGTATTACTCATCTAGATAAACAGCAAAATGATTTTCCTTGGAAGTTGAACTGAATCAAATGTTATTGTTCAATCTATGAGAATCATTCGAATTGCGCTCAGATCTAAGAGATACTACTCGATGGTAAATTCAATATGAATATATACATATGAGGATAGATGGATACTATATATGGAATATATTCCATATAGAAAAAGTTCTTGAAATCTTTCGAACTATACTCAAGCTCATGAATACCTAGGGTATCTATCTAGTTCAACCATATTCCTATTCATATTTATTATTATTATTTCTATTGATTGAATAGCTGCAAATAAAAAACTCCGTTAAACTCGAGCACCAAGCAGTTACGCAGCTTTATTTTCACTTTTCTTCAATTTCAATTGAGTTTTTTCTGTTTTATTTAATTATTTTCTGTGGGCTTCTCATGCAGGTAGTGGGTAGTATGCTTCGACTATAGGCTCTATGCATCTTTGGCTTTTATTATGTGAGAGCTCAGCTTCCACAAAACGATTTCAAGGCGAGTCACGATTGCAAATTGAAGAAAAACTCCAAGCCGGGCCTCAGGGCCAACGAACAGAGAAAGAAAAACAGAAAACAAAAATAATAATCTGTAATATGGGAGCCAAGTGTAGGAAGGCCAATAGCTGACAAGCCATGCACGACTAGCTAATGCCCTATAAACAAGAGGAAATAGGAGCTGTAACCGAAAGCATAAAATATATTTCCAATAGCTATATATATTGTCTTTTATATGTATATTTTGATGAGCATTAACAGTGGAGTTCTTTTCTGTACACCCCTTTGTTCTTCTGTCCGTCCGTCTCTCTACCTAACCATCTCGATGCGATATAGATTTACTGTATCCTATAGTACATCAAGTTATTCAACCACTTGATTACTCTATTTAATATAAACAATCGATAGCTTTTTCGTTAGCTCGATAAATATCGATATTGCATATCTATTTTACGGGTTTTTATGTGTGATAAATTTCTGTAAATAATTAATTTGATAATGTTTTTGTATGTCATATTCATGAAATCGATAAATATCGATATTGCATTCGCAATTATTTAAATACACATTTTCCTACTAATTTATTTAGTAGATTTACATACAAAATTGTTGGTCTATTTACTGTAACTATGTATGTATTCTTAATATTGATAAATATCGATATTGTATTCTTAGTAATTTAAGAACATCATTTTCTTTTTCTTTTTGTTTTTATAGATATATAGTAAGGATTCGACGAAACAGTTTTTTTTATGGCGTAGAATCTTATTCATAGACTTATATTTAAAGACAAAAGCCCCGCATTAGTATAAYATATGTTAATCGATTGTTTCCAGGTCAACATTTTTAGCATATCCCACTAGGCATTAAATATTTTTTATGACAACATTTTGAAGCACTCGTAAAGTGTATATGGAAATCGAGATTAAGAACAAAGACTTTAGTGTTTGTTTTATGATGCTATGCATATTCCAAAAGAAATTAGTAGGGTGTATATATATGTATATTATATATACGTATATTCTAAATATTTATATATATAGATATATTCAACTCTCTTCCCAACTATTTGTTTATAGGGTATTAAATGCGTTGCTATGTTTGCTGTTTGTTAACAAGCAAAGAGAATGTATGAAAGAGAGGGAGAGAGAGAGAGAGAGAGAGAGTGAGTTGACAAGCAAATGATAACAGAGAGCCAAGAGCAACTGTAGGCGAGAGTCAAAAAGCTGTGAATGTTGTTGTTGCTCTGTTGTCTATCAGTGAATGTTAAGTGAGTGTAAATGTTGCTGTTGTTGTTGCCGGACAATGTTTGCCATTGTTGTTGCTGCTGCTGCTGCTGCTGTTGTTGTTGTTGTTGCTGCTGCTGTTGTTGTTGTTGTTGTTGTTGCTGTGCGAGCAAGTCTTCATTTGCGTCTACGTCTTTTCTAGCCAAGTTGTGTTGGGAGCGAGTACCATTTGATGCGCTGCTCTGTGTTGTTGTTGTTGTTGCTGCTGCTGCTTAATGGCTGGTTAGCGGACCTGGCGACTGGCTCGGGCTGCTGCTGCTGCCGCTGCTGCCGCTATGGCGTCGGCTGCTGCTGCTGCTGCTGGCGATTGCCGTTTTGCGGATTTTCATAGTTCAGTGCGCTTTCCAGACGACAACGCTGACGACAGCAGCTGCCGCGCGTCTCTCTAAATATACAAAGATATATATATATATACAATTCTCTGATTTATTTAATTGGCAAACAACAGCGGCGACAATTGCTCTTGAAAAGTGCCAAAAAAAAAAGAAGCAAATAAAAAACAAGAAGACGGAAGAGAAAAGATAAAATTGAAACAGTTTTATAGCTCATAAAGTGCTGTGAATGTAACGCTTGACATCATAATATATATAAACACGCACACACATATGCCTAAACACCTGTTATGTGTGCTGGCTGTTGCTGTTGTTGCTGTTGCCGCTGTTGTTGTTGTTGTTATGCAATTGTAAAATGCCGCAATTTGATGAAACTTTTTTGAGCGACTGCGCGCTGGCCGAACGCTGGCGTTTCTATTCGTATACGGTGAAGCAACCGCTGCCAGATGATCAACATGATCAGCATGATCAGCAGCAGCAGCAGCAGCAGCAGCAACAACAACAGCAATCAAGTCAGTGTGCGCGTTGGTCAAAGCGTGATAACAACAACAACAATAGCTGCAGCAGCAGCAAATACAACAACAACAACAAATCGACGCTGCATGACATCAAATTCCACAGGCGGCGCGAATATACAAAATTGCCACGTTTGGCTTTATCAACAGCAGCAACAACACCAACAACACCAGCAACACCAACAACACCAACAACACCAGCAACAACACCTCAATGCACACCATTGACACCATCGTATTTGCTGGTCAAGAATGTGTTGCTCTGTAAGTGAAAGCTACAACATGTATGCATATGTCTGCAAACACACACACACACACACACACACACACACACACATTTACATCTGTGCAGATATGTGTGTGTTCATTGCGGGTTTTCTATTATTTGTTTGTTTTTTTTTTTCTCTCTCTCGTGATTTGGGTCTGGGTGGGCGGCCGTAGTTCGTTTACCGTTTGGCATTTTGGCTCGTTTGCCGTGTGGTTGCCGTCGTTCATCATGCAAATCAAATAGCAGCGGCACATGTTGCATGCCCTATGCCAAATGGAGCATATTAGCTAAATGAGCTCAAGCTGGCGCCTAACAGAAACCTGTTATCGATAGCTACGGCTGTTGCTGCTGCTGGCGTTTGTCGTTATCGATTCATAGCTGCTTGTTGTACTTGTTTCACTCAAACTTCTTCCATTTAAAGTTTGTTATCGATAAACAAATATCGATTAAAGTCGTATATACAAAGTTGTTGTATAACTTGTTTGACCACTCTCACTTGATCATTAAAAATGGTCATCGATAGCAATATATCGATTAATTATCTACATTTTTATCGATAAGTATCCTCCTTTCAGTCTGTCGCTTTGTCTTTCCTTTATCGGCTGATAAGTGCTACCGAAGAATAGTTGGGACATGCAAAGTAATCGTTAGTTATCAATTCCGATTTGTTAGAGTATCGCCTTTTCGATCTCCTGTCCGCTCTAGTCCCGCTCTTTCATTTAGTCTCTTTCTATTTCCTTCAAAAATTCACATTCGATTTCCATCGGCGATTTGAAACAATCATCGAATAAACAAAACAGCAAATCTCCTATGATGCGAACGAATGGTGAATGTGAATCTATATATGTATAGGCTGATATATATGATGTATGTATATAGTATATATCTGAAATTTACGTTGAATGTGTTAAAAAGCGACACGTGAAGGTCTCTGAAACACACAGAGTTCATGACTAAATATATATATTGTTCATATACACGAAATCTATATATATTATATATGGGAGTATACTATATATAGTACTATATATAAATATATAATTCATTATCATCCGCAACGAAAAAACCAAAAGTAGCAACAAATGTACAAAAATTTGCAAATTTAT